TGTTGCATGATTGATAAGCTTAGTTTTTGATCTTTGAGAAACTGAAGATGTAATAAACACTTTTTTGTCGTAATTTTTAAACTAATTTTCACCCGCTACAATTTCTATATAAAGAGGGCCGTATTCCTTTAGAGCACTTTTCACCTTTTCGGCATTAGAATCCGCTGGCAGCTGGCATACTTCAAATGCTCCTGGGCGAATAAACCGCTTCACTGATGAGCGGAGACACTTAGTGCCTAGTTCGGCGTAGTACGGATAACTTTCAGTGAGGGCAATTCCATTCTGGCGTATGTACTCTAGCGCCTCATCACCCCGACACCCATTGCAACCATCACATCCGGCGTATCCGTACTTTTCATGGGCGCAGTCGACCAGTTCCTGTTTGGCAAGGCTCACACCTTTCCGGTGACCAGTTTTCCTACTGTAAACGCCCTCCACAACGCCAGCAGCGGCAAATGCCCAGCAACTGCCACAGTTCCTTTTAAAAAGTCCTAGAAAATACCAGTAAGCTGTAAAAGCAAAAGTGTATATTTATTAAAAGTTTTAAAAAAGTTATGTTTACCTTGATTCTCAGCAGGTCCAAAAAATTTAAGATAATTAAGCTCCTTAGGAAAACTGGTGAAATAAACAGTGAACAGCGCAATGGGTTCAGGGTTTGAGTTGTTGCTTGTAATAGACAATTTGCCTCTATTTAAAAGAGAATACTCTTCTTCTGACTAAAACAAATTAAAAAACATTTTTTAATTATAAACATAATTTTAACAATATTTTTAAAAATTTGTTTACAAAATCAGCCATTGAATTAATGAACAAATTAAAATTTATTTTGCGATTTGTCTTTTCTTTGGCAAAACTGCTCGATTTGTTAAATGTAACCTAAAATTAAATGATTTTTAGTTAAAAAATAAATAAAAAGTTTAAAAAATTACTTTAATTTGTTTCCAACTGGTAATAGGCTTTTTGGTTTCATCGTGACAAAACAAAACGGTGACTACTACAAGCCAACCTATGATTTGCACAAAACGCATTTTTAACTTTTTAAAGTTTAAAAAAATTAAATTGTTTGAATATAATGCATGTTTAATTTGCAGTATTGACAGAAAAAAATTTAGTAATTAAAATAATAATTAAACATATTTTAACCTTTAAATAGTGTTCACTTAAACCATTGTTTAACGATAATTAATTAAAAAATAAAATTGTTTGTTTATTCAACAAATTAGAAAACAAAAACCATTCAACAACAACAACCAGCTGTAAAACAGTCTTTTTTGTGTTTTTTGTTTCTTTTCTTTTTATAATTTTTTTGTTACTTTTTCAAATGAGTATTTTTAAAATGTTTTTACCTGAATTTTTATTTGGATTTGGCTTGTTTGGGCCAACAAACTGAAACACTGGCATCTCTGTCGTTAGTTGGACAATTCGGATTACGTTCTAGCCCAGCCATCTCTAAAACTAGGTTGATCTTAACATAAATCAATTAGTTTAGATTTGAATGCTTTAACCGTGCAAATCCTATTTTTTATTGTTAAAAAACGTTTATTCATAAAAATATTTTAAAAAAATTATTTGGTTAAATGAACCATTTTTTAAAAATTAGCTAATTTTATTAAATTAATAAATTGGTAATGTTAACATTAAAATGAAAAATACATATATTAAATTTCTAAATTTAATTTTTTTGTTGTTTAAGTGATCGTTTTTCACAATTCACTACAATAAACAAAATTAATTAAAAACGTATATTAGTTATGTAACTTATACTATAGTTAATTTCTTTAGCTTTTGTACTTTGCCCCAAAAGTCCAAAACCATTGTCGCCCCAACCTAAAATAAAATAACATTAGTAAATTAAAAACAACTTAAAAATTTAATCAACATTTACTCTTGCCATAACTGTTGCGAATAATCCAGTAAGATTCGCCATCGATTTGCGAAGTTCCATAACCAATCAACACTACTGCATGATCAATAACTTTAGCTTTTGATTTTAAAAAAGCTGTAGGTACAGTAAACACTCCTTTTTCGTAGTTTTTGAATTCATTTTCACCCGCCACAATTGTTATATAAAGGGGACCGTATTTTGTGAGCGCTTGTTTGATTTGTGTGGCATTGGCATTAGCTGGCAGTTGACCAACATCAAATGTTCCTGGGGAAATGAACGGCTTTCTGTTTGGGCGGAGACACTTAGTCGCCTGTTCGGCGTTGTACGGATAGTGCTCAGTGAGAACGATTCCATTCTTTCTAATGTACTCAAGCGCCTGAGAGCCCACACCGCCACCGCAGCCTTTGCATCCGCTGTATCCGTTCTCTTTGCGTGCACAGTCGACCAACTCCTGTTTGGATAAGCTCACTTTTTCCTTATATTTCCAACTGTAAACGCCCTCTACGACGCCAGCAGCGGCAAATGCCCAGCAACTGCCACAGTTCCATGGAAAAAGTCCTAGCAAATACCATGGCCACTTTGCTAAAAAAACAAAAAAAAATATTAAATAAAAATTTTAAAAAATTAAGTTTACCTTGATCTT